GATCTGGCCTGAGGCCCTTCCCTCCCATCGAGTCTCTTTTCATGGTTGCTGAAATGTGACGCTCATACGTTTGCCCTTTCTGACAGTTTTTCGCTCTGGTGGTGTCGGGCTGCTGACACCTGTCGATTTGAGCTTCACGCTGCCAACCTTGAGTTCAATCTCTTCATTAAGCAAAAAATCATGATATTCTTCCGCTTTCAGAGCATCTCGTTGGACGCGAATCACCGAGTACATGCTCAACAGCCCTATCAAACCGAGCAAGACGGTGAACAGGCCAATCCCGCCAGCTTCGCCCTGCTGGTTCGTGGGTTGTTTCATCAGATCGACGCCTTCAAGATTGACGTCACTGTCATTTGCCAGATTGGAGGGGAGGGGAGGTGTTGGAGGCTTGAATTTACGGATGGCCTCAGCTGATGTCATCAGCTTGACACACGTCTGCTCTGCTGGCGCAAGCGTCCAGCCGGGAATGCATTCTGAACAGGCTGCACCTGTGTGGCCTGTGAAACAGTCACAGACGCCTGTGGCGTCCAAACACCTGCCATTTCCGTCGCACGGCAGCTCCGCGCGCTGCTTCCATTCACTCTGCAGATTCAGACTCCCACTGGGGCAGGGGGTGGGAACAAATGGACAGTCCTGTAAACAACAGTAGATCGAAATGTTGGCATCCGCAGCTATCCTCCCGTTGGGCAAACACCGCTCACCAATCTCACAAACTCCATTCCCACAGATGCCGATTCGCCAAACACGCCGAACCTCTATAAGCGAAGCGAATGGTATGAGCCTTGCCCTCTCCTCAGCTTCTGCTGCCGAGGCAGTCAGTCCATTCGCCGTGGATGGCCAAGGAGCCTGTGACACTGAGAATGTCCGCAGTATGGTACCATTTTCACCTGCAGTCTGCAAAGCAGTGTGAGAGGGGAAGATGTCAGAGTGACTTTCGGGGTTCCGTTCATACTGGTTGGTGTACTGTCATGGTTGTCAGACTGTTTTAGTGAGCTTTCACTGAGTGTGTTTGTGTGTGTGTGTGGATGTATAAAAAAACTGCCACAATAGCGTTGTGGCCTATTGCGTTGAAAAGTTTACTGTGCCACTGTTACAAAAGCCCAGTACAGACCCTTCTCCCAGAACGGAAAAACGAAGCAGAGGTAGTAGCATCCAGAGACCTGGCTTTCTAGTATCAGTCAGGGTTGCATAGCTGCCGACCGCCGACCGTTTTGCAGCCGACCAGTAGGCCGGACCGGTTGGAGGTCTGCCGACCAGTCAGAAAACAGCCATCTACTATTTTTTTTTCAGATCTGATTTGGAAGCTGTACTGCGCTTGCTGAGGACAGCCCAAATCCGCTGAGAAACTTTTGGGGATGGGGGGGTTTGGGGGGGTTGGGGTGGGAGTATACGGGTGGTATAG